GAGGAGGAGGAGGAGGGGAGGGGCTCCACCTCCGCAGGAGGCATCGCCAGCCTCGCCCGTCGACAGCGGCGCGCCGGACATCGTCGGGCTGAGCTGGGCGCCGGGCGCGGTGGCCCAGCCGGGAGGGCAGGGCCTTGGAGCGGCGGCGGCTTGTTCCCTGGAGCGTCTCGGACGAAGCAGCAGGTTCGGGGACGTCGGAGGCCCCCTGAGAACCGGACCCCTTCGAGTCATAAACAAAAACTGCAACAGAGGGCTTGTCGTGATTTTCGGCCTCTGGGGGTCCTTATACTGGGCCTCGGGATCCTGCAGGAGGAGAAACCAGTCCCGAGAAGGTGCCGAGACCTTTGGAGGTAGACGTCATGAAACAAGTCATGACGTCGGGGGTCTGGGGGCCTTGGCGTCTCCATTCTCCCGCGCCGGGCGACGTCGCCCATAAAGCTCTGGCCCTGGGGCCATCCCGGGTCGATCCTCGTCGGAGCATGCTGAGCTTGCCACACGCCGCGGGGGTGCAGTCGCTGTGGAGTGACCTCTGGTGCGCGGCTCTCGGGGGGGCGCGGGGGGTGCCGAGAGCACGAGGATGAAGTCGGGCATGTCTCTCTACAGGAGGAGGGTCCAATCATAGTAAAGAAATGGTATGGGGCCGATGTTTCGTATGTTTTTGTTTAATAGTTTTTTTCTGGCGATTTCCACTGTTCCACAAAATCCGCCCGAAGGAGGACGTGCCCGACCTACCAGGAGGACGCTCCTGTCTCACCGCATGCGCCGACCTGCAGGCCGCGCACCGAAGTCAGGCTTGCCCAGACGTCCGACGCCGCGATTGTTGTTCACGGGCGTGGCTCCCTAAGAGGTCTGTCGGGGATGGACAGAACCCCCGCCCTGACACGTCGATTAGCGACTTCTCCGCTCTCGGTTCTCGAGAGGGCGCCGCGGCCGTCGTTTTCCAGGCTTGCGCCTGCCAGGCTTGGGCCCGAGGTCGTTGTCACGAAGCCCACGTTTTGTTAAAGGGGGTTCTGTCCATCCCCGAGTCTGGGCCTCCTCCCTCGGGCCCGCTCGTCATGCTGAGTCGTGTTTTGGTGAGGCTCCCCATGATCGGGCGGGTGGTGATTGGGGGTGACCTAACTGGAGGGTGAAGGAAAATGACCCTTTAGGGCCCTTCTCTTCACCCCCCATCTAGGTCACAGCCCAGTACCACCCGCCCGACACGAGGCCGAACATGGCAAGACTAATTCCGTCGCGATTCTTCACGACGTGTGGTGCACCTTGGCCTGGCACCCCCCGAATGTTTGCACGGAAGAGGGGGCAGGGGGGGGGGGGCAGGGTCGTGGTCGGGGGCCCAAAGATCGACGTTGGCGGGGGCTCAGGGGTCGAGGGTCGGGTTGGTCCGTGGCCCTCGAGGGTCGAGGTTCGGGGCAAGTCGTCGTCTGTTCCTCCCTCCTCCTCCCTCCTCCTCCCCCTCCTCTTCCTGCTCCTCATCCTCCCTCACGTCTCCCTCCTCCTACTCCTCCTCCTCGTTCTCCTCCTGCTCCTCCTCCTCCTCCTCATCCTCATCCTCCTTCTCCTCCTGCTCCTCCTGCGCCTCGGCACTGGAGGCTGCCCTCTACGCTCTCCTCCTCTTCCTCTTCCTCCTCCTCTTTCTCCTCCTCCTCCTCCTCCTCCTCCTCCTCCTCCTCGCATCGCTTCCGTTGCCTTTAAGCGGTGGGTCCCATGCAACCTTACCGCTGCCTACGACTCCGCAGGAGCTCTCCCAAACCCTTGGCTGTAAGCTTGGGTCCATTAGGAGGCAACGGGCTTCGCGGTGTACTCCGGTTGAAAGATTGATGCCGACGAGGCGGGCATGGGACCCCCCAGAGTTGCTGTTCGGCCAGGGCTCCCTCCCTGCTCTCACCATGTCCACAGCCTAACGAGCCAGACAACTGGCGGCCCTGCACGGTTGCCTTGGTCTCTCCTGGCCCCTGGTCGCCCTGTCTTCTCTCTCTCCCCTCCTTCTTCCTCTTCCCACCGCTTCGCCTCATCCCCCACCCTCTCCTCGGCCCTCCTCCCCTCCCCCCTCCTCATCGTCCCCCTGCTCCGCCTCCTCCCCTCCGTAGCCATTTTGGCTCAGGCGGCCGAGCGCCGGGTCGGGGGCCTCAGGGGGGGGGGAGCGGGGCCGCCCGGAGCGCGCCGGCCTCGGCCGGAGGCCCCGGGGCGCAGATGTCGTCCATGGCGCTGTCGAGGGCAAAGGCCGGGGCCGACGCGCGCCTGAACGAGGACGGACCAGGCGTAGGAGTGACCTTTCGCCAGAGTGGCCTTTGGTGCGGGCACAGGCGGGCCCCCAGATGACTGAAGGAGAGGCGGTATAGCAGCGGCTGGCGCGCTTGCTTCTGGCCCCCCCCCCCGCGGTCCCAAGAAGCCGCGCGGCAGAGGTCACTCTTGCCCAGGGTCACTCTTGCGTGTAGCCGAGAGGACGGGTGCGGTCTAGGCCCGGGTACGGTCTACAGCCAGGACGCTGAAATAAGGAGCAGTTTGGATTCGGAAGGGGCTCGATGCTCCTTACGTCCTTCCGCGGTTGCTCCTCTGGCCCTTCTCGTGCATCCGGGCTTTTTTGAAGCCGCAGAGGGGCTTCGTTCCTTATTTTGCGTCCCTTACTTCAGCAGCCCAACTGTAGGCATCCCAGATGGGGTCGGAGCGGGTGGGGTCAGGGGATAGCGCTGCGTCGCCGATGCGGCTCGATGTGTACAGCCCGAGCTGCTTCACGTCGACGTCGCCGACGCATCGCCAGCGCATCGTGGTCGCGTCGCGGATGCGTCGCCGATGTAGCTGCGATGCGGCGCGACCTTCCGAGCCCAGCCGCTCCGACCCCATCCAGGACGCCTCTATACGGCCAGAAGGGTGGGCGGCAAGAGCGGGGACGAAGGCCAACAGCAGCACTTGTCCAATCTGCGCAAGTTCGCGGTCGGTGTCGCCTCGGGCGTTGTCCATTCGGGACGCGAGTCGCCTGCCCAAGCCAAGAGCGGCCGTTGTCGGTGTTGGGCAGCGTTTGTTGTTGGGCACTGCATTGCCCACTCATTCCCTGTCGGTTTCGGGCGTGCCAAGAGGAGAAGAGGGCGGCCGAGAAGAAGAGGAACATTCTTGTCCTGTGCGCGCGCTACTTCCAAGACCTCGGCTACATCAACACAGTGATGCAGATCCAGAGCGAGACGGGCGTGTCCTTGAACAAGATCGACGTGGCGGACAACATAGACCTCGGCACGATCCTCACGGAGTACGAAGACTTCTACGAGATGCGGTTCGGCCGCAGGCCCAAGATCGTCCGCAAGCAGGACGCCGAGAAGGAGGAGAAGAAGGACCACAAGTCGAGGCACTGCTCGCTCCCCCGGCTGGACGAGAACAGCTCCGACGACAGGCGCGGCGCGGCGAACCGGTCCAAGTCGGAGGACAAGGCGAACCGCCGCCAGCGGCCGCCGGCGTTGCCGGACGACCAGGCGAGGGGCCCCGCCGCACAGCCCAGCGCCACGGGCGCCGGGGGTCCCGAGGGCCTCGGCGACGGCCTGGGGATCGCGGGGCAGAACGTCTCGAAGGTGAGCAGCTCCAGTGGCTCCAAGAGGGAGGCGAAGAGCGAGGCGCAGGAGAAGCCCGGGGACGACTTCTACGAGAACCAGGTCCTGCGGGCGCTGCCCAGCTGCGGGGTGGACAAGGATTATCGCGAGCTCGCCCTGACGATCTCGCGCGACATCCTGTCTCGCAATCCCGGGGTCCCATGGAACAGCATTGTTGGTCTCGGGCATGCCAAGGCTTTACTCAAAGAAGCTGTCGTCATGCCCTTGAAATACCCGCAGCTGTTCAAAGGCCTGCTGGCACCCTGGAAGGGCGTGCTGTTGTTTGGCCCGCCAGGCACGGGCAAGACGCTGTTGGCAAAGGCGGTGGCCACAGAGTGCCAGACCACGTTCTTCAACATCTCGGCCTCCACTGTGGTTTCCAAGTGGAGGGGCGACTCCGAGAAGCTCATCCGAGTGCTGTTTGACCTGGCGCGCCATCACCAGCCGTCCACGATCTTCATGGACGAGATCGACTCGATCATGAGCACGCGTGAGGGCGGCGGCAGCGAGCACGAGGGCAGCCGGCGGATGAAGACCGAGCTGCTGATTCAGATGGACGGCCTGTCGCGGGACTCCTCGGACCAGGTGTTCGTCCTTGCCGCCTCGAACCTTCCGTGGGACCTCGACAGTGCGATGCTCCGAAGGCTGGAGAAGAGGATCCTCGTCAGCCTGCCCAGCACCGAGGCGCGGGAGGTGATGTTCAGGGTCAACTTGCCCGAGAACGTGGCGAAGGAAGTAGACTACGCCAAGCTGGCGAGCCTGACCGAAGATTGGTCGGGCTCCGACATTCGCCTCCTCTGTAAAGAGGCGGCCATGCACCCTCTCCGCAGGCTGATGGCGGAGATCGAGCGGGCGGAGGTGGAGCAGGAGGAGAAGGCGCAAGACAGGGCCAACAGGAGGAGCGCCGCCGAGAAGGCGGCGCAGAAGACCCTGGAGAAGGCGGAGCCCGTGGCCATCTCTGAGCTCAAGGTCGGGGCGGTCACGGAGGCAGACGTCACGCGCGCGCTGCAGACCGTGCACCGTGCCCCCGCCGCCCACCTGGACCGCTACAACCAGTGGCAGGACCAGTTCGGGGCGGCGTAGGCGCGCGCGCGCGCGCGTCCGCAGGCCTTGCTACGCACGCCTTGCCGAGGAAGGAACACCTTGGGCTCTGCTGCGGAGGTGCGCCCCACTCCTTCCTCGCCTTAAGCCGGGCCTGTCCTTCTACAGGAGGGATGTCAAAAAAAGGCACAGCTTGGGCTGGGGACGATTTGTTTAGTGCATTTGAATGTGATTTCTTATTTGTCGATTCTTTTTCATTTTTCGTCCAAGCCCCGCCTGTAGGAGGACACGCCCGACCTAATCCTCGCCCTCGGACATCCGACGTCGTGCTTTTTTGCGGACAGAGGTCCGGACCTCGTCCCAAAGGGGCTGGCTACTGTGGAGACCCATACCAAGAAACACCCTGCTCGCCTCCAGGATGCCCTGGGTTTCTTGGGTTTCGATGGTTTTGCCATGGCAAGCGCGTGACGTTCCCACACTGAAAATCCATGGACGTCCTGGGGTCTCAGGGTTGGGTTTCTTGTGGACGGTTTCTTGTGGACGGACCCCCACTGTATGTCTTCCTGCCGAACTGTTCTCGGACGGTCCCATGGGGGAACCAACGGAGGCCCCCCCTGGGGCCGAAGCGGCACAGACAGAGGAAAAAGTCTGCGTCGTGACTTCTTCGCGACGGGCGGATGCCATCGGCGTCCCCCCAACATACTAACACTATGTGTGCGTTGCCCCCCCAGGGGCGACGCGCGCACCGAGAAATCTTATAGGAGATACGCCGTGGCGGGCGCTTTCTGGCCACACCGCTCGGGAAACGATATACCACAAGATGGGTATACTACACGTTCGGGTCGGACGCGCGCCTCCAAGGAGGTGCGTCCCATGCCAGGCTCTTCAGTCCTCCTCCTCGTCTGCCTGCCATCGCCTGGGCGGAGGTCGCCCCGCGGAGACGGGCGGGGGCCCGCGCCCCACCCCCCCCGCTCCCCCGACCAGGGCCCCGGGCCGCCCGGAGGGAGTCGGAGCAGGCGGGGTCGGAGGGCCGCGTCGCATCGCCGATGCCCCGCCGGTGCCGCGCGATCGGCTGCCCGATGCTCTCCACCCCGACGTCGCCGAGGCATCGCCTGGGAACAGATGCTGCGCCGGAACATCGGTACCAGTCGCTATCTGAGCACCCATGGCATGATCCTGGATCCGGATCCGTGCACACGTCGCGCTGAGGGCTTCGTGCGCTGCGCGCCCGTCCCCTTCGACGGGACAGCTTCGCTGAGGTGGCGTCCGTCCGCCCGTCCGTCCGACGGCGCCGAGGCATCGGCGATGCGGTGCGATCCTCCGCCCCCGTCTGCAGTCAGTCCGCACAGAAAGGATGGGCAGCCTTCCCAAGGGTGCCCTGGCATCCTTGCCTCCTCGGTCCACCCTTCGCCGCTTTCGCTGGCCGCGCCCCGCTCGCAGAGCCTCGGAACGGCCCTCCAGGGCCCCTGCACCCTTCTCGTGCATCCTTCATGATACAGGCCGACCGTACTCCGGGAATACCCGGCCCCGCTCGGGCGGGCCCCCCTCTCCGGGCGCCGCCCGCCGGCCCTGCGCGAGCGCACCCGGCGCCATAGTCGCTGCGCCCGCCGAGCTTCCCCCCCTTGCACTGCGTCCGCGGAGGGTGGCGCCTCTGCGACTCGTGGCGGGCCCTGTATGCCCTCTGCGGCTCCGGTCGGCGCTGGGATGCAGCCTCGAGGCAGAGCGCACCTCCGCAGCGGCCCTCGCGGTGCTGCCTGCAGTCGTGGGGGTAGACTTCCCTGGTGCTCCCCGTGGCGTTCGTGGCGTCCACGGCAGCCGGCTGTGGAGCACAGCTCCAGGCAGCGGTACCCAGGTAGCTCGCAGCACGGGTGCGGGCGGGGCGGGCGATCTGGTGCTTCTCCTCGCCGCTGTCTTTGAGGTGCCCCGCGCCTGGCTGCACGCCTGGCTGTCTAGCAGCCGGCGTAGGAGCCGGCGCTGGGGTGTGGGTGGCTGTGATATCCGACACTCCCGCCGGGGTTCACCTCGCTGCGGGCAGCCGTCGAATTCTGAGCCCCAGATGGTCGTTCAAGAAGTTCAACGTGCGGGGGCACAGTCACCCGGCATAGCAAGGATGCGCAGCTTGCAAAGGCTACCCTTGCATCCTCCCCCTTCGGCCCATCCTTGGCCGCGTTTGCTGGCCGCGCCCCGCTCGCAGAGTGTCGCCATGGCCTTCCGAGCCCCTTGCATCCTTATCGCGCGTCTTAATTATTTGGATGGGGGATCAACTACAGAATTGGTTTACCCAAAACTTGATCTTGCCGCCGAGTCTGCGAACAAATACGTAGAATGTCGCGTAGGCGTAGATCTGCGAATATCCGATGCGCTTCTTGATATACTCGGCGGGGAAATCAATTTTGGAGTAACTCCATTCCGCAACTGATTCCCGATTCGAACTGTACGGGCTGGCTGCAAAGTTCACACGTGGTTGTCCAACGCCCGCCGAAGACGAGGTCCTTTCCTGGAGGCAGAGGAGGAGAAGCGAGGAGCGAGGAGCGAGGAGCGAGGAGGAGGAGGAAGAGGAGGAGGAGGAGGAGGAGGAGGAGGAAGAAGGAGAAGCTAGGAGCGAGGAGCGAGGAGGAGGAGGAGGAGGAGGAGGAGGAGGAGGAGGAGGAGGGGGAGGAGGAGGGGGGGGAGAGGAGGAGGGGAGGGAGAGAGCGAGGAGGAGGAGGACGAGGACGAGGACGAGGAGCGAGGAGAAGCGAGATGCGAGAAGCGAGGAGGCGGAGGAGCGAGGAGGAGAGGAGGAGGAGGAGGAGGAGCCAGAAGGAGCGAGGAGGAGGAGGAGGAGGAGGAGGAGGAGGAGGAGCAGGAGGGCAGGAGGAGCGAGGAGCGAGGAGGAGCAGGAGGAGGAGGGAGAGGAGAGGAGGGGGAGGAGGGGGAGGAGGAGGAGGAGGAGAGGAGGAGGAGGAGGAGGAGGAGGAGGAGGAGCGAGGAGGAGCGAGGAGGAGCGAGGAGGAGGAGAGAGGAGGGAGGAGGAGGAGGAGGAGGAGGAGAGGAGGAGCGAGGAGCGAGGAGCGAGGAGAGAGGAGGAGGAGGCGGGGGAGGAGGAGGCGAGGAGGAGGAGGAGGAGGGGAGGAGGAGGAGGAGGAGGACGCGCCCAGGTGGCCCCGCACAGGCGCCACGCCGAGGCCTCTGGCGGCGGCGAGCCCGGCGGTCCCGCGCACGATGGCGGCCAGGCGGGCGCGGAGGGGCGGGTGGCCTTCGGGGGTCAGCCTCCTCCTCCTCCTCCTCCACCTCCTCCTCCTCCTCCTCCTCCTCCTCCTCCTCCTCTTCCTTCTCCTCGTCCTTCTCCTCCCCTTCCTTCTCTTTCTCCTCCTCTTTCTCCTCCTCCTCCTCCTCCTCCTCGTTCCTCCTTCTCCTCCTTCTCCTCCTTCTCTCTTCCCCCCGTCTCTCTCTCTCTCTCTCGCTCATTCTGTCTTCTCTCTCTCTCTCTCCCTCTCTCTTTCTCGCTCCGTCTTCTACCCGTGCACCTCGAGCGCGTGCGGCTTATTTGTGCCAAGCGCGGCACATCTAGGCGTCGGCCTGTTCTGCGACTCGGGCTCGCTGTGTGTGTGTGTGAGGGTGGACTCGCTGAGGGTAGGTTCGTGATGGCGTGTGCGGAGGAGGTGGGAGGAAGGAGGGTGGAGGAGGAAGGGGCGGGATGAGGCAGGGCGGGGTCGGAGAAGGAGGGGGGTTGAGGAGGAGGAGGAAGAGGAGGAGACAGGAGGAGACAGGAGGAGGAGGAGGAGGAGGAGTTGGAGTTGGAGTTGAAGTTGGAGTTGGGGTTCCAGGTCGTAGTCCGACCAAAGCATTGCAAAAACCCCTTGTGGGCTTTCAACGCTTGACGTTCTAACTCGACATCACTATACGCTTTAGGTCAAAGCCCCAAAGAGAGGAGGATGAGGAGGAGGAGGACGAGGAAGACCAGTGTAAGCCCAAGACTCAGCAACGATATTTCAGTAAACCTTCCCTCCAAGTTCTCTCTGCATAGGGCCCTGCAAGAGTTCCTTTTCACTGAGGGACGTGCCAGTCGTGTGAAAACCAGGAACTGTGCCGGAACACCATGCTTGGAACTGCCACGCCGCAAATCACCATGATTGTTCTGCCTTGACGATCATGAGTCGTGTCAGAACTCGACTGCTGGGATTTCAACACGCTGCGCCTTGAAATTCTGATAATGTGTCACAACGCCGTTTCTGGGACGTTAACCATGAGAGTCCTTGGACCAGCTACAAATTTGTACGACGAATGTGCGTGGCGCTGAGGCGAGGGCCTCATTTTGAAAAGGCGCAGGCTCCAATCCGCGAAGTTCTTGCACACGTTTATAACGAATGTGCGGGCAGGCGAGAGCCACATTTTGAAAACGGCCCGCCCCCCATCCGCGAAACCCTTGCAAACTGTGTTAAAACCTATGTGCACGGCGCTGTAGCGAGAGCCACATTTTGAACACGGCCTGCTTTCAACCCGTGAAGATCTTGCAAATTTGCATGGCAAGTGTGCGCGGTGCGCAGGCGAGAGACACATGTTGAAAACGGGCCGACCCCACACCTGTGGAACTCGTGCAAATGCTTAAAGACGAATGTGCGCGGCGCTAAGGCGAGAGCCACGGTTTGAAAACGGCCAGTCTTGAATCCGCGAGCCTCTTGCGAATTTGTACGACGACTGTGCGCGGCGCTGTGGCGAGAGCCACATTTTGAATGCGACCCGAAATTTATGCGGGACCGCCCTGCAAACTTGTTAAGAAGACTGTGCGATGCGCTCCGGCAAGAGCCGCCCGCCCTGTCGGCCAGCCTCGGGGCGCGACAGGGAGGAAGTATCTCTAAGGAAGAGGGATGGAGGAGGACCTGGAGGAGGGTGAGGAGGAGGAGGAGGACGAGGGGCAGAAGGACAAGCCAGAAGCGCTCGCGTAGTATCTGACGTCCTGCCCCTCTCTCCCATCCGTGTCCATGGCGTAGATATCCTGTCTGTTCGCACAGTCGGATGTGGAGCAGGGCAATGATCGCGAGAGGGACCGCGATGCATGGTAGAGCACGGCATGCCACAGCGCAGAAGAGCATGGCAGAACGTAGCATGCCACAGCATGGCGTGGCATTGCGCAGTGAAGCGTCGCATCACAAAACAGTGCAGCGCAAAGCATGGCATCGCACAGTGGCGCAGAACACAACACCGCACAGCATGTCATGGTATGGCGCCGGGTTCCTTGGAGGGTAAGTGGATCATCTTCGAGGTCTGGGTAAGTCTGGAGTCGAGGGTTCATGTCTAGCTCCTTAGGCTCCCCGAAAAGCTCCACACAAGGCGAGGCTGATGGAGAGCACCCGCTGGTTCTGCTTTCAACATCGCCTTCTCAAAGCAGAAACGGGGCTCCCGCTTGATACTTCCTGCAAACGACGACGCCCCAAAGTGGGGGGGGCTTCTGTCCGTAGCCATTTTGGCTCAAGTCATTTTGGCTCAAGCGATTTTGTCCAAAACAAGTTGTTGTGCAACCCACCGCGACGCAGGCGGGTGCTGCGATTAGGCTGACGTCTGTCGTTCTCGCATATCTGATTATTGCAGGCTGCCAAAAAATCACTTTGTAATCTACTGCTGGGCGTCTCACAATGTCGGCTCCCTTTCGGGCAACAGGGCACGCGGTCAGTGACTGATATAACCACGAAGCCATCGTGATGTGGGCTTTCTGCCTCAGAGTTTCCTCCAGCGCAAGGAAGTACAATGCCAGGCAAGACACGAGAGTTACCTTTTGCGCCCTTGTATTGCCCTCCTCGCACTTTAGCTTTTTGCATCATGTAGTTCCAACGCGAACAGCTGACCTGTACCAGGGATTACCACTCGCGCATCTCATACCCAAGTCCCGAGGTGAGGTTTTGGCAATTGCTGCGCGCAGTATCATAGCTGATCTGGGACATGCAGATCGGGCAGCAGATCCTGTTCCTGGGCGATGTGTCAATGGGCGTCAAAGGCCACAGCACCAGGCAGAGTACGATTGGCTCTGCAATGGCCGGCGTATTGAATGCAAGAGTTCGCAGTTACAATTCAATCGTAGCTGCAGTTCTTGGTTATTCCAGTTTCATGGTGTCAAGCTTGCACTTCAAGCGCATCGCGTTCAGGATGCATTTGATGATCTTGTCCTTGTGCTGTACTCTCCTTGCAGAATTTATATTTACCGTCACGATCTGACTACGGGGCTCAGCACTGCAGGCATTAGAACGTCTTCACGGGGCCATAGCGTAACGATAAGAAGTGCCAAGACATTATGTTGGAGAACAGGCCTTGAGAGTATTCTCGCAAAGCTCGACGCAGGAACTAATGCTTGTGAGCGCCTTGCCGACATTCCGCTTTATGACTCAAGAATCAACGTTGCAGCTTCGAGACGCAGTACGCATGCAATGCATGATGTGTACAATAATGTGCCGCTGGCAAGCTTGAGTCCGCCAGCTCGAGGTCTTGTCCTTCAAAGACTTGCTCAAGAGGTTGATTATATCATGTCTCAGAGGGCATGTGTTTCCTCCAGATACACAGCATTGCATGATTGGATTCGAGATGGAGTTCGCGTGGAGTGCAAATCTGCAAAGCTTGTATGGTGCGGGTGGAAAAAGAGTTGGAGGGTCTCATTTGCGCATGTTAAGATAAAGGGGCACATGAAGCAGAGCTCGGTGTTTGACGAGTTGCACGTCGTGATTTTTTCACCCAGGGGTATCTACATCTATCATCATGACTTGAAGCTCGGGGTCTCGTCCGCAGGCTTGGCCACTCAGGCAGAAGGCTGCGACATTGTTATATGTGGCAGCAAAAAGGCTGTGTCATGGTCGGAAGGCCTCGATTCGATTTTGAGTAAACTCGATCGTGGAGGTTGCCGGCGTCTTGCGCATATCCATTGGGACTCAGCTAAGACCCCCTAGCTGGACAAAGGATCATCGCCGACTTCGTTGTCATCAAGTCCCAGTGGCTCGGCTCGCATGGCCTAGGCAACAGACAAGGGCACGAAGATAGGTGCCCTTCTAGACAAGTCGTTCGTCGCGCCTTGCGCGTCGCGATGTGCGAAGTTTGGCGAGCCAGAAGTAGGCGACATCCACTCAACACAACAAAAAATGTAGGGGGGCTTCTGCGGCCCAGACCTTCAACGAATCGTCAGTGAATGTGGAATCACTTCCGATGTTGTTTCGGGAGGCCGTTTTCTAGATTTTGGGACACATTATTTGGAAGGACCGTAAACGCCCGCGCTGCAGCGGGAGCACGATTTGGAACAACCAGAGGCGTTGACATGGGGGCAGCGCTTCAGCGGGAGCAATTCTTTGGACAAAAAACAAACGGAAACCCATTTCCTAGGAATCTTGTGTGTACAAAAACCACTACGCGGAGGGGGGCCGGACATCTGCCGAACGTCATCAGGGGAGAGAGAAGAGTAGTATCCAGATTGTGTAATTGTGGAGGGAGGGGAGGAGGAGGAGGAGGAGGAGGACGCACGCATCCGAGAAGGGTTCGACCCAATTCACATGCACAGACAAAAAGTTGGAGCTAGGCCAGGAGGGAGAGAACATCCTCCTCCTCCGCCCCACCCTGGGCCTTCCGCTCCTCAGCCTGCCTCCCCAGGGCCTGTGCAGCCGCGTCCGATAGGCCGTACAACGCCAGGACGCGCTGCCAGTCGGCGGCGGGCGGGGCTAGCCGCCCCTCGCGCGCGGCCGACTTGGTGAGCTCCGCGATTTTCGCGGGCCCCGGAAGGCCCTGGGCCCAGGCAGAGAAAATGGGAAGCCACTCGGCCCTGACCTCGGGGGCTGGGGCTCCCACATGTGCCAAAACAAACCCCTTTGGATTTCTATGGCCAGGATACTGACCAGCTCGAAACTTATTAAGATAGAAGCCACGACCTCCGCCAGCGACAGGACGACACGACGAACGAAGATTGCCACGTTTCGAGCTGGTGTGCGCCATGCTGCCGCACCTTACGCACATGAGCAAACTATCATGAAAGGTCTCGCGATCGGCTTCATAGATGTCGGCCTGCTCCAGCAGGTGACCCATCTGCCTCCAGGCTCCTGGTGAGGCGCCGATCGGGGCCTCAACAGGGCCACAAGACGACGGAGGGGGAGCAGCATCGGCAGCAGCAGGCTCAGACCCCACCCCCGAGGAGGAAGGGATGGGGGAGCCCGGGATCGCATCTAGCATAACATAGTTGAGCCACTCGAGGCCTACATGATCTTGCTTAGCAAGATCCCTGCAATCGAACTGCTGCGACGCACAGAAGATGCCGAGACGGCGAGCGAATTCGGAGCAGCCTGACACACGGAGCCTGTCTTGGGCACTTACGCGATAAGGAGGAGGAGGAGGAGGAGGAGGAGGAGGAGGACCACGGGGTGATTAGGAGGGAGGAGGTAGGAGGAGGGAGAAGGGGGAGGAGGTAGGAGGAGGTAGGAGGCATATGAGGAGGAGGAGGAGGAGGAGGAGGAGGAGGAGGAGATAGGAGGTTGCAGGAGGAGGGAGGAGGAGCCAGAAAGAGGTAGCAGGAGGTTGAAAGAGGTAGGAAGAGAAGGAGGATGAGGGGATGAGAATGTAGAAAGACGTCGGAGGAGGGAGGCAGGTGGATGGGGGTTTTGTAGGAGGAGGAAGATGTGGCAGCGGGAGGGGAGACGAAGGGAGGCAGGCAGGGAGTGTGCTGGAAGAGGGCATCAACGCTCAATCAGCTCAATGGGGCCCGAAGCAGGGAGGAGGAGGAGGAGGAGGAGGAGGAGGAGGAGGAGGAGGAGGAGGGGGAGGAGGAGGGGGAGGAGGAGAAGGATAAGAAGAAAACTAATAGTAGAAGCAGGAGGAGGAGGAGGGAGGGAGGATTCATCCTTCTTCTCCACGCGGGAGGGGGGGGGCGGGGGGGGTTGGAGCAGGAGGAGGATGGGGTACGAGGGGAAGTAGGAAGAAGGAGGAGGAGAAGGAGGCGGGGGCGGAGGTTGGACTCCTCTTCCTTCGCCTCCACTTACAACTTCATAGTTCTCCCTCCTCTACCTCCTGCTCCTCGTCCTCCTCCTTGTTCTACTTACTTTCTACGTCCTTGTCGTCCCTTCCTTCCTCCTGGAAGATGCCTTCCAGGAGGCTTCGTCAGCGGACGCCAGCACGCATCCCACCAGAGGCATCCTCGTCACCCTCGTCGTCATATTGCTACTCCTCCTCCTTATCTTATTCATGCATTATCCTCAGGTGCCTCTTCCAGTGTTGGTGCGATGTCCCTTTCGTGTTAGCTTTGGACATGTCGTTGCATACGGTTAGAGCTTAATTATATCAGGTTTCCATTTCGTGCCAACGACGTTTCGACCTCCCCGTCGTCTCCCTCCTCGATGGTTACACGGATTTCAGCCTTCGCGCAACGAGTCGATCATGCTACTACAGGGCGCCACATCGGACCTCCATGAAGGCGAGGACCAGGAGGTAGGGGGAGAGCGCCTTCACCATATCCTTGACAAGTCATGCCCCTCAGCAAGCTTCTCACGATGTACGTACGGTTGGAGCGAGGCGTGGAGACATGCTCGGTTCGGAGAGTGTAGTGGATGTTCTCCGCTACTGTTTCATGTTCTTGTGCCATTTGGGGAAGGGCACCCTCGAATGTTCTTCAGTTTGGCAGCTTCGCTAGCACGTTCCCGCAAGGCTGGAGTTTCAAGCCGTGCCTTGCCGTGTTCACCATGACTCTCACAATCGGCTCCTTCAGTCTGGGCCCTCCTCGCGCGCTCGGCCACCCCCCGCCCCCGAGGGCGCGCGAGAGGCCTGGCCAGGAGGAGGAGGAGGAGGAGGAGGAGGAGGAGGCGGAGGAGGAGCCGTGGCAGCCGAGGCTGGGTGACCTTCAGTTCAGGCTTTTTTGTTTGTGCTGGCCCGCGAAGGGGCTCCCGTTCTTGCAGTACGTTCTCCCTGCCACCGTTCCGACGGAAGAGATCCTGCAGGCTCCCCGGGGCGTACTGCTGTTACCAGCCTGGAGCACTTTCCTATCCCTGTGCTGGGCACCTCCTCATCACGAAGCCAATCTTAGGGATTCCCTTTTTGGGGGGGGGGGGGGGGGGGGGGGCGAATCCCTAAGATCGTCATCGCCTTTTGGCGTGCCAATCTTAGGGGTAGGGGTACGCTCGAGGCTGGCAACGCCGGGTCTCGCCAGGCCGGGCGAGCGGAGGAGGCGAGGAGGCGCCGCTCGCTCGGCGGGGCACCCCCTGCGAGGGGCCCGGGTGGGCGCAGGATCTCGGCTCTCCCAGGGTCGTCGCGGACGTCGTCCTCGTCGTCGTCCTCGTCCTCGTCCTCGTCCTCGTCGTCGTCGTCGTCGTCGTCGTCGTCGTCGTCGTCGTCGTCAGCGTCGTCGTCAACGTCGTCGTCGCCGCCGCCGTCGTCGCCGTCAGCCTCGCCGCCGTCGTCGTGGTCGTCGACGTCGTCCTCGTCGTCGTCCACCTCGTTGCCGTCCTGCCGCGCAGCGCTCGCGCTTCGCCCCCCCCCCCCCCGCGCGGCCGGGCGCGCTCCGGCCGCCCGCTGCGGGCAGGCGGCCACCGCCGGCGGCGAGGGCGCCGGCGAGGCCCGGGCCGCGGCCGGCAACACGGAGCCCCTCGGGCGAGGCAGCGGCAGTTGGCCTTCGGGGGGGGGGGGCCTCGTCGCCACGGCTGGGCGCAGCTCGGAAAAAGTTGTGCGCGGGGGCGGCCCTGGGAAGGCTGAGGCTCTGGGGGGGACACTTCGAGCTGCCGAGGGGGTCGAGGATCGAGGATGGAGGATCGAGGGTGGAGGATCCACGATGGAGCCTCTCGAAGGCAAGAGGAGGTGGATGGTCAAGGACGGAGGGTGAAGGGTGGAGTGCTGGGGTGGGAGTCGCAATAAGCCACGGGGACGCCGTGACTCCTACCTCCCTCCCCCTCCTCTCCTCTGCCCGTCTCCTCCTCCCTCTCCCTCCGAGAGGGGAACGGGGAGGGACGAGAAGGGAGGAGGACGACAAGGAAAGAGGAGAGGGAGAGAGGGGGGGAAGAGGCCTCCGAGCATGAGGGGCATGACCGACCCGCGCGTCTACGCCTGCAGTGGGCAAATTTACAGAGGGACTGTTGGACATATTGAAACTCGCTGGCGAGCAGGCATGTTCGACATCGGCTAAACAGGATGCGGTCCAAAAAGGGCCCTGCCTTCGAGGATCGACGGAGTTGTCTTGTCTTCCGCGGCGGAAGGTGGCGGAAGGGCGGCGGAAGGTCGGCGAACGTAAAACGAAGGCACCTCTGCGGGCGGAAGGCGGCGGAAGTAAAAGATGCGCCCCGAAGAGATTCAAGCATTACTGAGTTCAGGGTTACCAGAATCTGCCACATGGACATGCAACCACGTATAGGTTCAATCTGAGTCCGGGATACAACTTCTGGGCAAGGCGAAGCTTGGCACTGGCCCGGACCCCCGCGGGAGGCGCGCAAGCGGTACAGCGCACCGCGCCCGTGATCTCCCGCGCGTGGGCTGGTAGAGCGCACTGCCGCCGTGGAGGCTGGCGGCGCATGTTCGAGGGAGGGTGCCGCAGCAGAAACCCAGAGATCCGACGTCGTGATTTTTTCAATGTGGGGCCCCCGGAAGTCTCGACCCATTCCCCGGGACCCGTTTTTCACCCTGGATCGTTCTTTGAGGGTCCTGGGGCCAGGCGAGGGCCCCTCGAGGCCGAAAGCTGCGAAACCTGCCCGTCTTGATTTTTGCTTCAGTGCGTTGGATCTCCGGGCATCCAGAACGTGAAATCATAATTGGGAGGGGCAGAGGGCCGCGCAGAGCCAGGAGGCCGCCACAGGGTCACATGGCCCTGTGTCTCGGCGCCCTTCGACCTTCTCCGAATCCCTTTCGTTGGCCACCTGGCCGTACAGCCAGGGAGTCCGACCTGCTGAGGTCGCACTCATCGGCGTCCAGCGCGATGTCGACACTGAGGATCACGACCGAGATCTCGGGCGAGTGATGCTCCCATTCCAGCTGCGCCTGGTAGTCACCAGCTCTGCGGCGCCAACGAGATGGTGCGCAATGAAGAAGTCACTGCGTCTGAGCTTGACCGGGAACATAGTGGCCATCCCGCCAGAATAGCCATCTAGGCCTCCTAGATGGGGTCGGAGTAGATGGGGTCGA